GGTCTTTGCTGTGTCGATGTACTTCTTTGTACCCTAATTAAATAATTAAAGTGGGTGGTTGGCGGCTGGCGGGTGCTTTGGTGTGGTTTGCTACTCTCCTTCTTTCCTATCAAACATATATCGTCCTTCTATTTCCTCCTTAATTCTTTTTTGTGTATGTTACTCTCTTTTAAAACATCTGTTCTTCTGCACTTATATGACCTTATTGTGTTGCAAGTGCCGTAAAACTCTTACTAAAGCTTTAAAAAGCAGTTGCGAGCGTCGTAAAACATTACTAAAACAAACAAACTGAGTGTGTTGTTGGAGGACGCCATTGTTTGGCTTTACTTACCCCCCCCCTTCCATTTTGTGTTTCCGCCTCTCTTTTGTTTTGTTTTTCCTTTCTGTGGTGGGAGGGCGCCATTTCTGGGTTCTACTCCTTTAGAAAGTTCTTTCTCTCTGATGTTACTCTCTGTCAATTTTTTTAAAATCAGTTGTTTTACGTGGAGTTTGTTTGTGTTCGTGTCAGTTTATGCTGATAAGGGTGCTAATTCATTTGTCTGTTTAGTCTTATGGGTTTTTTTGTGGACTTGGAAACCATTGCAGATGCCGAGGAAAAGACTATTATCATAGCGTTTTCGTAATTTTAAATAAAAAGGTGCAGTAAGTCGTTCTTCCTTTAGTCTGGAGTTTTGTTTGTGCTTGAGCGAGCGTTGCTGATACAAATTGTTTATTCATAAAAAGAGACTAAAGTATGTATCTTATTTTAGTATGTTGGTTGTTACTTCCTGTTGAAAACGTCTGTATTATGCCCCCCCCCCCCTTTTGAAAAACAAAGCAAAGAAGAAAAAAAAATCCGTTTCGCATTTTTCTTCTGATAGCAAGTATCTTCTTGCACTTGCTGTCGGTTTCGAGCACTGGTTGGTTCTTCGCCTTTTTTCCCCCCTCTTGTTTCTGTCTGCCACTTTAAATGCTTTAAATGACCCTTATATCGTTGGTGTCCTTTTTAAGAAGACTGACCTTCTAGCAAGTCATGAAAATGGCACCACACACTTACAAGACTTCCTTGTCCGTTCTTCTTTTTAAAAAGACTAAGTGGGTATTTGGCTCTGGTGTGGTTTGCTTCTTCTTTCCTATCAAACATCTATCGTCCTTATCTCCCCTTCTTCTTTTTTTATGTTTGGTACTCTCCTGTAATATCTCTAATCTTCTGGCGCTCATATGACCTTATGCAGTTGCGAGTGCCGTAATACCTCTACTAAAAAAACGCACTCAAAAAACTAACCTTCTTGCAAGTCATGAAGATGGCACCGCACACTTGCAAGACTTCCTTGTCCCTTCTTCTTTTTTAAAAAGACTAAGTGGGCGGTTGATGGGTGCTCTGGTGTGATTTGTTTCTTCTTTCCTATCAAAAATCTATCGTCCGTATCTCCCCTTCTTCTTTTTTATGTTCGTTACTCTCTTGTAACAACTCTAATCTTCTGGCGCTCATTTGACCTTATGCAGTTGCGAGCGCCGTAAAACCTCTACTAAAAAAAAAAAAGACTAACCTTCTTGCAAGTCATGAAGATGGCACCGCACACACTTACAAGACTTCCTTGTCCGTTCACGTGAACCGGCGCCATGTAGCCTAATGACCAGATAAACCTGCCGGTCACCTCATCGTTCCCGCTGTTTAGCCCTTGACCCTAGATTGACCTTTATGCGGCGCAGGATGGTAGAAAATCTCTGTGAGGACTCTTTGGTTATCGTTTGGGAAAAAAAGCCTCCGATCTTGTGCGGCTGTTATCCTGAAACCTCTGTTTCGTTAGATAAGACGCACTTTATTCTGAGAGAACATTGTTTATTCCTGTTCTTTTCAATGCTATTTCTCCGCCCCCGCCCCCGGTCAATATCTACGAGCAAAACGAATATATATATATTTTTTTTTAAACTATAAAGGGCACAGAGAAAAACAACAAGGCAACTTATGAAGGACAAATACCGTATCACCCACACTATATCATGGCCCTGTTTTCTCTTTTTCTTGAGTGGCGTCGGTTGCTTATTGGTTAGGCTACCAGACTCGTAATCGTGAGGTTGCGGGTTCGGCGGTTAGAAGCTCAGTCTCTGCCTGACGTTGTGTCCTTGAGAAAGGCACTTTACAATAGTTTTCCCATTTGGCTCGGGCCTATTAGCTGCATGGTGGGTGATTGGCGGGTGCTCTGGTGCGGTTTGCTCCTTCTTTCCTATAAAAAAAAATTATCGTCTTTATCTCTCCTCCTTCTTTTTCGTGTTTGTTACTCTCTTGTAAAACCTCTAATCTTCGGCACTTATATGACCTTAATGTGTTGCAAGGGCCGTAACATTCTTGCTAAAACAAAAAAGAGCTGAATGTTAAATTCATGTCTCTTAATTTTTGAATAGCCTTACAGTGTTGCAAAGGGTATTAAACATAAAACTTATTTTTCATACTTTTTGTAGTGTTTTTTTGTTTTTGACGTCATTAAAGGTCTGTAGTGCGTTGTTTTTTTTAAATGTAACCCAGTAGCCTTGGTGCCATTACAAAACCCTTCAGAATGAGAGAAGGGGTACTCAGTGCGTGACCTGCTGCTGGCAGTTTTTCCTTCCCTCGTACATAACATTGTTTAGCAGTCTCGTTAAAAAAACAACAACATCAATACGAATAGAATGAGGGGACCCACGATCTCAGTTTGGAGAGAGAGGGAGGAAGAGAGAGAGAGAGAGAGAGAGAGAGAGAGAGAGAGAGAGAGAGAGAGAGAGAGAGAGAGGGGGGGGGATGCCAGTCCTCTTTACGGTCTACCTCGATGTTTCTGTTCTACTTGACGGTGTACCGTAGGACTTTTATGACAACTGTAGTTCCACTTGACGATCCATTTGTCTCTATTGCAAACCACATTCACGAACGCTAAGTCCAAACTGTAGCGTTATGGTAAGGTTAACTAATAGACGAGTAGATGCCAAGTGCATTAGAAACATACTTGTAGACTGTCAAGTGGACCGGCACCCTCTATCTTTCTTCTATTATGCTGTACAGTATCCCACTGAGGTCGGTTTGGTCTTGCAATGCAATGTCAAAGGAGTCAGCCCTAGGCGGTCATTTATGATCGCCTAGAGTCACCCCATAAATGATCCAACTTATGTCAATGGGGATGTAACTTATTTGCGATTAATTGGTAATTAATAAATCTTTAAAGTTATTGTCCGTCATGCGCCTAAACACGTCGAAAAGAACCGTGCAGCAAAAAGCGACTACATGTACTTGCTGTCCGGATTATATAATATGTCGGGTCGAGAAAAATGGAACGCGTTGTGGACATTCGCTCTCTTGTGCTTCACTGAAAGCCCTCTTGTTGACGGCCTTAAGAAAGAGGCCATTGTTTATCCTGGCTAGCCGGCCATGTGGCCTCCTTGATGTTAGGTATAATGTATACAGTACTATTACGCACGATGGCTCGGAACCTAGGCCTTCTCAGTATACTGAGAAGGCCTAGCTCGGAACTCTTCGGCGGTAAGTGAGAACCGGCGTCTATGCTGTAACGGCTATACGGAGAGCACACTACCAATCGAATTCATTCATCTGAATGAGAGCCAAA